GGAGCAGCGAAGGCTATTCACAGTCAGTCAGCCAGTCAGTGCGTTACCAACGAGTTCTCAGTTCGCAAGTTACGAGCTACAGACGCGTGTGCGATAACCAGTGATAACCAGTTATATCTGGAGCGTGTAATTCAGGGAGACTTGTGTAGCTCCCGCGTTATTAATACGTGAAGACTCTTGAAGATAGTGTTAAGAGATTTTGTTGTAGGGTTTGTAAAGTGTGGAAACCCGTAATATTGTGATAATTAATTGTAGCCGTTATTTGAAGATTGTTAAATAAACCAATTAACCATCTCTATGGCGTCTTCAGTAATGAAACACGCGACAACTGGTGTCAGAAGTGGGATTTGGACTTACACACGTGACCAACGAGCTTCGAACTCGAGACACGTGACAATTTGGTGTCAGAATTTTAACGAACTTAAACACACCTAGACAAATAATTGGATTATTGTGCATCGAGTATTCTACTGCGACAAGATGGAGAAACAAGATATGCAACGAATAATGGAAATGCTGGCAAGAATTAACGCCAACGTGAGATCTAACCGAGAAGAAATGAAGGCCGATAGGAGGAAAGACAGAGAGGATTTCCTGGCGAAATTAGACTCCTATCAAGAAAAGGCAGATAGCCTGCTGACGAAATTAGCCGCCGTCTTCAATGCCTGGCAGGAAGAGACGTTGGCCGGCCCAGTGGACACGAAACCTGTGGCGGCACAACAAGAAGAGGTTCCCATAGTGATACCGGTCGGAGTGACGATGGCCTGCCAAGAAATGGTGGCACGTCCAGAAGAAGAAGAGCCAACTTCAGTGAACAGGAAACCTGAGGCGGCAGAACTACTAGAGGTACCCGTACAAGACGCCAAAGTAATTCCGGTCAGAGAACTGAAGAAGAAAAGGCGCAGGGACCGAAAGCGACGAAATAAGAAGAATCCGACATGGGAAAATTGCGGACCCCAGAATAAATTGGCCGTCGTCAGCAGGAGGGTGTCCCGCTCTGCAAGAGTGGCATGGCGCAAGAGGAACATCTTCAGGAAATCTTGGACCCGAGGAGATCCTGCGTCCCGGATAAAGTTGGCTGCCATCTGCAGGAAGATATCCCGTCGCGCGACAGTGGCACGACGTTGGAGAAATGACTCCAAGAAGGAAACTCCCCAGGGAACCTTCGGAT